CTCTCCCACACCATGCCCCAGCCTCAGGTCACCCACAGCCCTGGAGGTGTCACCATGGCCCTGGAGGTGCCACCAGGGCATGTCCCCATCCCCAGCAGCCCTGCAGGGAGGGGACACCGGCCCGAATGTCCCCCCAGAGCAGCAGGGTGGGTACGGAGCCGAAGGAGGAACCAGGGCCGTTCTTGCCACACTCCCAGAGGAAGGCATGACGTGAGCTGTGCCTTAATTGGTTATTAATAACTCCTTTGTTAGCCAGCCAGCCCTAAGGAGGAACCGAAATGTGACTGCCCCGGTGGCGAGCTCAGTCACCGGCAGCCAGCGATCATTCACAATTCCTCCCCACATTTATTTTGTGGTGTTTTTCCCGGGAGCCGCAGCCCCCCGGGTGAGTCACGGCGGTGACAGCAGGGTGACAGCACGGTCCCCTCGCCTACGCGCACCGCACAGCCTTCTGCGGTGGGATTTTCTTTTTGATTCCTAGAAAAATAACAGATGCTCCCCGTTGAGGGGGAGATTCTTGGAACCCGTTCAGGCTGAGCCTGGATGTGACCAAACTCCCGGTTCCCTTCAGCGGGAGAGCGGAGATCCCCTGGCCAAGGGTGGTTCCTCCTCCAGCCCATGCCGAGGGCCAGGAGCCTCCCCCCAGGGCAAACACGGACAGCAAACAGCCTCCACACCCCAATCCCGGCCTCCTGCCCGCTGGAGCTTCCTTTTAACTGGAAGCTTTGGAGCTCCCACTTCAAGGGACCCTTTTCATTGTGTCCCGTGCGATTCAAAGCGGTGCTGGGACCCTCTGCACCTCCCTGCTGCACAGAGAGGTTTCCAGTTTCAGCTGCCTCAGAATGGATTCTGAGGACTCACAAGGGCATTCCCAGCTCCCATCCATGCTGCAGCACCAGCACATCTGGTGATGTGAAATTTTAGTATGGGGACCTGGGCTTCTCCATAGCCCAGCATCAAGGATGGAGACTGGAGGCCAGACACATTGCTCATCCTGGGAGTGACCATCAGACATTTCCACAGCAGGATTCAGCAGGAAACATTCCTCCCACAGCTTAGAGCAGAGCCTGGCCTGCATGAGGGCACCAGCAGGTGCCTGATTTACCCCAGGTGTGTCAGTGACCACAGCAAGGCCCCAGGGCAGAGCCAGGGACCAGGACACCACAGCCATGGGGCACACGAGAGCTGCTGCCAGCTGGACACCCAGGACCTGCCCCAGGTGGATCTGGACAGCTCCAGCCTCTCCTGGTGACCCCAGGGAAGACACCGCCCCCACTCAGAGGGACAGCTCACCTTTTCCTCTTGGTGCATCCCAGGGAACAGCAGGATCTCAGGAGCAGCTCCAAGACACAGCCACAAGAGAGAATCCTCCCTTCTCCTCAGTCCAAACCCAAGCAGTGCCCTCCAGGGCCTTTTATAGAGCCCAGGGAGGCAAATAACCTCCAGCTGATGATTAAGCCCTTAATGGTTCACACCTCTGTAAACGCTCCCAGCCTGAGCCCCCAGCCCAGCCCAGGCACTGACAGTGACCTCATCCAGCAGCCCAAATCCCAGTCCTGGGAACCCCCAGCAAGCCCCCACTGTTTGTTCCCCTGTCTGGGCTCTCCCTCCTCACCAAAACAGGGTTTGGCCAATCCCAGCCACCATCCAGGGCTGTGTCCCTCCTGGAGAGGCTGTCTGGGATGACCCCGTCAGTGATCCTTAAAGGTTTGGGGTTGAATTCCACACCCGAGGCTTCATGACTTCCAATCCTTTTCCAGATCCATTTTTGGGGCTAAAAGCAGAAAGTGAGGTCCCACCACCAGCCCCCTGCCCTCAGGCTTCTCCCATGAGAGCACAGTCCCACTTCCCAACCCACCTCCATCACAGGCAAGCGGCCCTGCTCTGATTTACCAGCTCAAAAACCCCAATTCCAGCCCCAGCCACCCCTGCTGACCCTGAGATGCAGCTCCATGTCTGGAGACCACCAGCACCTCAAGGAGCCTTTCCTGGCCACGCTGGACCCAGTGTGGCAAATTGTCCCTGTGTCTGCTCCTCCTGGAGGTGTTTTCCTACAGATCCTGTGGGATAATATGAGGTCCAGAGGGGTCTGATCCCCTCTGGGTGTAAATGGTGCCACAAGTTCCTCTGTGTGGGCTGAGAAGTTGGGTCACACACAAAATCCAGTGATCAGGAGTCACCAATGTGGCCTTTGCTCTAGGGGGAAAGTGCTGACACTGAGATCCTGCCTGGGGGCCCTGCTGTGGCATTTTCCAGCCCAGGATGTCACTTCCTCTCTGTGCAGGGCCTCAGTGGGGCTCGAGAGACATCCAGGTCCCCACTGGAAGGGCTGATTCCATCCCTGGGCACACAGGCAGCTGCAGCTTTGTCCTACAGGATTTATCCACGTGCCCATCCCAGGCACCAGCCTGAATCCTGCTGTGCTGCACTCCCAACCCCTGAGCGTGCTGTGTCCTGGGGCAGCATCCATCCCTCTCCCTGCCCTGGATCTGCAGTGAGCAGCTCCCTTGCCCAGCCCTGAACCCTCCAGGCCCAGCCCAAAGCCCCCCAGGCTTGGGACACCCCCTCCCCTCCATGGGCAGAGCAGGGGTCACTGAGGCAGCAGCCAGAGAGGAGCTGGGGAGCCCAGAGTGGTGTCCATGACAAAGCTCCCCAGGCCGCAGAGGAAGGGGAAGAGGCTCCCCTCCCTCCTCTTCCTCCCTCCCGCGAGGGGATTTTGCAGCCAGGTAAACACAGGATGTTGATGAAACAGGGCTGGGCAGATTGGGCAAGATGGGAGTCAGCAGGAGCTCCAGGCAGCTCCCAGCGCCTGGAATGGCAATGCAGCCTGGAAAGGGCAATGCCAGAGCCCCTGGCGCCTTCCTGTGCCCATTCCAGAGCCCCTGGCACCTTCCTGTGCCTGTCCCCAGGGTCACAGAGCTCCCCTGCTCACAGGGAGAGGCGGCATGGGCTGGTGGCCAAACCTGGGGCAGGATGGGATCCCTCAGGTGATCCTTGGGATCTCCTCACAGGCTGAGCTGAGCTCAGTACCGAACCCTAAAGTTCAAGCTTTGACACCCAACGCACAGCAACCGTGTGGCACCTCCTGTGTCCCTCTGGGCACTGGGGACATGCAGGACACAGGGATGAAGGGACACATCCCCTAGGATTCCACACAAAATCTTGGGATGGGCACCCGGGCAGCAGCTGAACACGGCAGCGTTTGGCTCCCGACACAGAAAAGGGGCCACAGCCCAGCCCAGCCTGTCCTGGGCTGCAGGTGCCACAGACAGAGATGTCACAGGGGCTGCCGCCTCCCCAGGGCCGGAGTGGCGGGGCAGGTGGCGCTGTCCCCGTGTCCCCGTGTCCCCCGTGTCCCTCGGGGCGCTGCTGCCATCTGCCGGCAGGATCCCGGTCCTGAGCCCGGCCTGGGGACCCTCTGTGGCCCCGCTGTCCTGTGCCCCCTCCCAGGCGCTGCGGGACCACAGTGGCTCCAGCCCGGACATCCCAAGGTGTCCCCAAAGCCTCCCTGCTGCCCCAGGAATCCGAACCTCAAAACTGCTCCCGGTGTCCCCCCTGATTGTCACCCCATAAGCCACTCCTGGGCTGCATCTTTCTCCCACACCGACCCCATCCCAGACACCCTCCCTGCCCTTTTGCTCTCCATGTGGGATGGGATGGAGTGGCCTCTGCATCATCCATCGGGGCTGTGGAGCAGGGACAGGATCAGGCACAGGACTGGGGGGACAGCAGCTCTGCTTTCCCCAGGGAACATCCAGCTCCATCCCCCCCAGGACTGCTGGATAAAGCTCACCCCGAGATGATTTCCTGCTGCATTCCCATCCCCTGGGTCTCTCTGGGATTTGGGATTTGCTGAGTCCCCTCCTCCCTGGGACAGCCGAGCACATTGGGATCCTCTTCCCACGGCCTCCCTGGCCCTCCTGGCCTTTGCAGCACCCCTGGGAGCAGCAGCACATCCCGGGATAACCACGGGGACTGTGCCTCGCTGGGTGTGGGGACACCCGGTGACATCTTGCACATCCCTCTCTGCATCCCAGGGCACTGGGAGCGGCCTCAGTGAGGTGCTAGAGGGCGTTTGCTTTTCGGATCCATCAGGAGCTGGGAATGAGGTTTGGGAGAGGCAAATCCCCGAGCCCGTGTCCCCACAGTAGCCCTACAAGCTCATCCCACCGCGGGCAGATGGAGCAGAGCTGGAAAATGCCCAAACCCACGGGCAGGACTGCGCTGCAGCTGTCCCTGGTTTGATTCTCGCAGCAAAGCCAGGCAGTGTCTGGCGGGTTTTCCATGCGCTCCCTGCCCCTGCCCACACACAGGAAGGCTGAACAGCTCCGATCATTCCCGCTGGGAATGCTCCCCGGCGTGTGAGCCCGGCAGGCTCCGTGCCTGACGCCCACGGGAGCAGCAGGAAGTTTTAGTGCTCAGTTTTAGCCTAAAAGGGAGTTTTATCCCCTGAGCCCTGCACAGAAAAATTGGGAAAAATTAACCCGCTCAAGGGGCCAAATATCAGCCCAAAGAGCCAATATCAGTTGTGATGAAAGCTCGCTGCTCAGAGGGATCACTGTAAATTCCAGAGAAACCAGGTGTGTGCATCCACCCACCTCCAGCATTCTCTTGCTTCTGGAACAACATTCCCACCAAGCCCCTCAAGCAGAGATTCCCCCACCAGCACTGCCCATGCTCTCCAAACACCCTCCCCAAAATCCTCACCCCGTGCCCAGCCCATCACCACCCCCTTTCCATCCCCTTTCCACCCAAACCCACTGCCCACCACTCACCGCGGGGGAAACGCCAAATCCTCCTGCCATCCCCATGGCTCCCCTGGCGCTCGGCTGGGCTGGCACGGCTCCCCCGCCTCCGCCGCACATCTGGGCAGCTGTGGGGCGGCGGGGCCCGCCCGGTGCCCCGGCGGCAGCGCTGACATCAGCGCGGTTTCCTGCCCGTGCTGCCGCGCCGTGCGCGCAGCCCCGAACCCCCGGGACCCTCCTGCAGACCCCCCTGCCATGGAGTCCGTGGCCCTGTACAGCTTCCAGGCCACGGAGCAGGACGAGCTGCCCTTCCAGAAAGGGGACACCCTGAAGGTACCAGCCGGGGGGGTTGGGTGATGTTGTTTTGTGGGACGGATGTCACCCGGGCCATGGTGTCACTGGGCCCATGGTGACACCGGTGCTTTGTTTGTCGCTGACTTTAACGCTTCTGGGGCTTTCTGTGGGATATAAGGAGCCAGCCTCGAGGATCTGGGGGTGTGGAGTACCATTCCCTGTTTGCCTGTGCCACCAGGCACAACTTCAGAGAAGGACACCCCAGCTGGGACATGGCATGTGGCCTCTGTGGCTGTCAGTGCCACCAGCTGTGCTCAGTGGCAGCCCCTGGGGCTGGGACACATTTTCCCTGTCCGGGGGGGCACTGGAGGTCACAGAGATCCAGCATCGTGCCCAAACACCCACCCAGGCACTGGCATTGGGGGTGGGCCTTTAGATGCCACCTGGGAATCCCAAAAAGCTCCAGGGGGCAGAAGAAAAGCTCAGAACATCCCTGGGAGCAGCATCTCTGCCATGGGAGAGAGGGCCGCTCTCCCTGCCCATGTGCTCATCCCTCTCGGGCTCCTCCCGGACCCCCGGCACCCTGTAGCCCCCCGAGGAGGGTGGGGGCACATCCCAGCTGGAACCAGAGCCCCAAACCCTCCGTGCCATCCCTGCCTCCCGCCGTGTTTCCCCGTGCCCTGACCGGGGTTTCGGATCCTGTTTTCACAGCTGTGCCGGCCCCGGGCCCTGCGGGGGAGGCTGGAAAATGTTGTTGTCACACGGAAGCGGTGTCAGCACCCACTGCCACCTCCCGGGGACACCAGGGCCTGGCTCCCGTCCTGGGACAGATCCCACCCTCTTCCCTGGGCAGGGGTTTGGGAACACACCAGGCACCTTCCAGCTCTGTGAAACCAGAGCCCCCAGAGTGTGCCAGCGCTGCCAGAGCCCCCTTTGCCCCAGGGATGGTTGGGGGGTGCTGTGGGGTCTGGGGCAGCAATGGGGTCCCACCCAGCCCCTCTGCCAGGGGAATGACGCCTCCCTGCTCCTCTTCCCCCCTCAGATCCTCAACATGGAGGATGACCAGAACTGGTTCAAGGCGGAGCTGTTCGGCCGCGAGGGCTTTGTCCCCAAAAACTACATCAAGGTCAAGCCACACCCGTGAGTACCATCCCAGCAGGCAGGCAACAATCCCAATTCCCAATTTACAACAAGCCAGGGTAGTCCCACACTTGGGGAAATCCCACACATGGGGAAACTGAGTCACAGAGATGGGGGGGTCAATCGCCAGTGCCACCACAGCCCGAGGGGACAGGAGGCAGCAGCACACCCACGTACCCCCAAAAATCCAGCCCTCACACACTGGATAAATGATAATTGGGGAACAACAAAGCGTTATGGGATTATCACTGCATTAAACACAATCCTATTAGCACCTTATTAAAGCCCAGCCTAATCCATCGCTGATTGAAGCTGTGTTTGATACATCCTTAGCCCCTGGTAAATCACATTTCGATGGCAGAGCGAGCGCGTGGGCTCGGGGCAGCCCGGGGCTCATCCCACTGCTTCTGCAGCTCGGGATAACAACGGGCATGGATGAGACACAGCCTCTCCTGCAGCACCTGGAGCGCTGGCTCTGTGCTGAGCTCCCTGGCTGATCATTCACCGGGCAGCTCTTACAGCAGCAGGGAATCTTCCCAGCCCAGGGACATGAAATACCCTGAAATATATACCCTGAAATAACCACCCTGAAATGCCCTGAAATACTCTGAGATAAATACCCTGAGATAAATACCCTGAGATAAATACTCTGAGATAAATACTCTGAAATACCCTGAGATAAATACCCTGAAATACTCTGAGATAAATACCCTGAAATACCCTGAAATACATACCCTGAAATACCCTGACTAAATAACCTGAAATATCCTGAAATACCCTGATATACCCTGAATAAATACCCTGAAATACCCTGAAAAAAATATCCTGAAAGAAATATCCTGAAATACCCTGAGATAAATACCCTGAAATACCCTGAAATAAATACCCTGAAATAACCACCCTGAAATGCCCTGAAATACTCTGAAATAAACACCCTGAAATAAATACCCTGAAATATCCTGGAATACCCTGAGATAAATACCCTGAAATAAATACCCTGAAATACCCTGAAATACAGGTTGGGGCACGGGGACTCTGCTCCTGCACTCCTCTGGCGGTGCAGCAGGAGGGGTCGGTTTATCCTGGCACCGAGCGGGATTTCTGGTGGGATTTCTGCTCCCACCAGGAGGGGCCAAGGGGCGCCAAGGGCAGGAGGGAGGGGACAGGCAGCACAGCGGGCCCGGGTGACAGCGCAGGTGACAGGATGCGGTGGCGGCTGTCGGTGACGCGGAGGGGGCAGCGCGCCCGCAGCACCCTGCGGTGCCCCCCAAAATTCCGGGATGAAGCAGGAGGGGGAGAGAAGGGAGGAAGTGCCGGGGGAGGGTCGCAGCCCCCCGAGGAGCCCGGTGCAGACCCCTCGCCCGGAATCCCGGTGCCAAGCGGGGCTGGGGGGTCCCGGGGTGCCCGGGGGTGCCCGTGTGGCTCAGCCCGGTGCCCCTCGCAGGTGGTACGCGGGCAGGATCTCCCGGCACCTGGCAGAGGAGCGGCTCCTCCAGCGCAACCACCTGGGAGCCTTCCTGATCCGCGACAGCGAGAGCGCCCCGGGCGAGTTCTCCCTCTCCGTCAGGTAAAAAACGCCCTTGGGACAAGCGGCAGGAGGGGAGGGGTCCCTGCAGCTCTGGGGACACCCTGGTGTGTGCTGGGGAAGGGCTGAGCACCCTGCCCTGTGCTGGCCACCTCGGAGGGGCTGCGGAGCCCTCAACACATCAGCCCGGCCTCGCACGGGACCTTCCCCTCCTTCCTCTCCTCCACAGCTCCGCCTCCATCCCCGCTGCTTCCTGCTCCCTGCACCGCTGCCCTCGCAGGGACACCCTAAACACAGCAACCTCAGGGATGGAAGGTTCAGCACCCCAATAATGAAAGGCTCAGCATCCCCAGGGATGAAGGGCTCAGCATCCCCAGGGATGGAAGGCTCAGCATCCCCAGGGATGGAAGGTTAAGCATCCCTAGGGGTGGAAAGTTCAGCATCCCAGGGATGAAGGGCTCAGCATCCCCAAGGATGGAAGGTTCAGGACCCCAGGGATGGAAGGCTCAGCATCCCAGGGATGAAGAGTTCAGCATCCCCAGGGATCGAAGGCTCAGCATCCCAGGGATGAAGAGCTCAGCATCCCCAAGGATGGAAGGCTCAGCATCCCCAGAGATGAAGGGCTCAGCATCCCAGGGATGAAGAGCTCAGCATCCCCAGGGATGGAAGGCTCAGCATCCCAGGGATGAAGAGCTCAGCATCCCCAGGGATGAAGAGCTCAGCATCCCCAGGGATAGAGGGCTCAGCATCCCCAGGGATGGAAGGTTCAGCATCCCAGGGATGAAGGGCTCAGCATCCCAGGGATGAAGAGCTCAGCATCCCCAGGGATAGAGGGCTCAGCATCCCCAGGGATGGAAGGTTCAGCATCCCAGGGATGAAGGGCTCAGCATCCCAGGGATGAAGAGCTCAGCATCCCCAGGGATGAAGGGCTCAGCATCCCCAGGGATGGAGGGCTCAGCACCGGCTGTACAACGGGCAGAGCCTGTCCCCGGGGATGTCACCCCTGCCCTGCCCCGGCCTGGAAAGCAGGGCCGGCCCCAGCCCAGCCAGGCACTTTCTCACCCTTTTAATCCCTAATTGAACGTTTCGGGCGGTTTTTGTCCCTAATGAAAGGGAGCCGGGCTCTCTCTGCCGCGTCACCGCAGCGCAGCCGGGTCCCGCCCCTGCCCGGGGCCACCCAACCTGTCACCCCAGGCACGCCCTGCGAGGTGACAGCCGGGGACATCCTGCCTGCCTGCCTGCCCGTCCTCCTGCAGCACAGCAGCACAATCCCAGCCTCTGCAGCCTCCTGGCTTGTGCCCAGACCTGCAGCTCTCACCACACCTGCCCCAGATGTGGCCCTGGACAGAGCCACCTGCCCTCCACGTGGCTGGCACCCCTGAGTCCCCACTGTGCCAGGGCTGGGCACGGAGATTTGGCTGCCTGTGGGGTGAGCTGCAGCAGGGCTCAGCTGTGGGTCCTCATTGCAGGGCCAGGAGTGACCCCAGTGCCACCATCACCCCCATCATGGCAGGAGGGGTGCAATGAGACCCATGGGCTCACCCCAACCTTGCCAGCACCCCCAGGCTTTACCCAGCTCAGGGGATGCTGCCAGGATGTCCCCAGGGTGATTTCCTTCCTTCCATCCATCCATCCATCCATCCATCCATCCATCCATCCATCCATCTATCCATCCATCCATCCATCCATCCATCCTCCTTCTGCAGTTACGGGAAGCAGGTCCAGCACTTCAAGGTGCTCAGGGAGAGGAATGGCAAATATTTCCTCTGGGAGGAAAAGTTCAACTCCCTCAACGAGCTGGTGGAATTCTACAGGATGACCACGATCGCCAAGGAGCAGCAGATTTTCCTGTGGGACGAGGACCAGACCCAGGAGGTACCACCATGGGTGGGGCTGAGGGTCCCAAACCCCTGTGTGAGCCCCTCGAGGCTCAGTGTCCCTGCAAAGGGACAGGGACATCCCTGGATGGCACCTTTGGCTCAGGGGGTGAGGAGCAGGAGAGGGGGCAGCAGCCTGGGACAGGCAGTGCTGCAGGGAGGAAAAGCTCCTGGAGCAGCTCAGAGGGGCAGGGCAGGGCAGGGCAGGGCACACATCCCTGTCCCTTGTGCCAGGGGTGATGCCCAGGGCAGGTGGCAGAGCCAGGACAGAGCACAGCCAAACTCCAGCAAAGCCAAACCCTGGAACAGTGGTTGTGGAGGTGGCAAAATGGACTTTGGGAGCTGGGATGGGGAAGGCTCCAGCACCTGGAAGGAGCTGGGAAGGAGAGGGTGCCAGCTGCCTCCCTGGGCACCCATCTTGAGAGATGGGGAGAGTCCACTCCACTCTGCCCTTTCCTTGCTTCTGTCTCTCCAAAGCAGGGATCCCAAGGCTCCTCCTCATCCCGTGGTGGCACAGCCTCCCCACCAGGACCCGGGCAGTGCCACCCAATGCCAGGGGCTGTGAGATGGGGACCCCTCTCCTCCCACCAACCCCAGCCCTCGGCTGCCCTGCAGGTGAGGAGACCCCGATTTGTGCAAGCCCAGTTTGACTTCTCAGCCCAGGAGGGCTCCCAGCTGCCCTTCCTGCGTGGGGACATCATCGAGGTCCTGGGCTGCCCCGACCCCAACTGGTGGCAGGGGAAGGTCTACGGCCGTGTCGGGCTCTTCCCACGGAGCCACGTCCACCCCATCCACAAGTGACCTTCAGGTGACAATTGAGTGACCATCAGGTGACCATTGAGTGACCATCCACGAGTGACCTTCTGGTGACCATCCATGAGTAACCTTCAGGTTACCATCCACAAGTGACCATCCACAAGTGACCTTCAGGTGACCATCCAGTGACCATCCACAGGTGACCTTCAGGTGACCTTCAAGTGATCATCCACAAGTGACCATCCACAGGTGACCTTTGAGTGACCATCTACAAGTAACCATCTATGAGTGACCTTCAGGTGACCATCTGCAAGTGACCATCCACAAGTGACCTTCAAGTGACCATCCATAAGCGATCATCACAAGTGACCTTTGAGTGACCATCCACAAGTGACCATCCACAGGTGACCTTTGAGTGACCATCTACAAGTCCATAAGTGACCTTCAGATGACCATCCATGAGTGACCCTCACCACGCCACCGCTGACCGGGCAGGACCCGGCCCCGTTGTCCCCCCTCACCAGAGCTGCCCTCACAGCCTGAGTGTCCCTTTGTCCCCAGGATGGTGCCTGGTCCATGATGGGATGGGGCTGGCAGTGCTGCTCCCCAGGCAGGGAGCGTGGAGTGTTCAACCACGGCCATAAAACCTTTTCCAGAGGCACAACCCAGTGGGGTGACAGCCACAGAGGGAGTGAGCCCAAAACCCCAAACCCTAAAACCTCTCCAAACCCTGTGAGCAAAGCCCCAGCTGCAGGGAGGGCTCAGGCAGCCAGGACACAGCCAGGATCCACAGCTCCACGGAGGAATTCCAGGACTCAGGGTACCAGGAAAGGCTGGTCCTGGGGGATTCCATCCTGTGGGGTGCTGTTCATAGCTGCAAATTTATATTTTTTATATTATTTTTTTTTATTTAGGGCCAGTAAAATGTGTTTGGGTATTGTCCCTGAGAGTGGCTGCTCCTTTTCCAGCTCCTTTCCATCCTCCTTCCATGAACGGACGATGGTCCCATCCCTCCATTCACACAGGTTCTGCTTCACTGCAGTTTTATTTCCCCCTTTTCCCCACCCCAATGCCTGTCTCAAAACCCTCCCAGGGATTTTCTGCCCCCACAAATGCCCCCCACACCCCTGGGATGCACTCAGGGAATGCGGTGCTCAGAACAGCCAACTGCTGCACCAGTGGATTTAAACATCACATCCCAAACAGATAAAAAATAGCCCCCAAATCCTCATTATTCCCCTCTCCAAGCACCTTTCCCCCACCCCAGGGGCTGTCAGGGTAGAGCAGGCATAAGAGGAAATACTGACACACATCAGGACAATGGCACTGATGCCACAGATACGGGCCCAGAACGGGGCTCCTGTGGTGTCCCCGAGGGTCACAGCCAGGGTCCCTTGGGTGGCTGTGGGTGTCCAGGCTGAACCTGGCACAGAAACACGGTGAGTGCAGGGGACAGGTGACCCTGGGGACAGACACCTCCTGCAGCTCGAACCCTGCTCTGGGAACTTGGAGCTCTTTCCCCCCTACAGCCAAAGCCTTTCCTCAGGCTGGAACGAGATGATGTTTAAGGAACCTTCCAGCCCAAACCCTGATCCCAGGATGGGCACAGGGACAGATGGGACCCCCTGACAACTCCTCAGAACCCGACCCACGCTGAGGAAAAGCTCAAACGTGCAGCTCACACGGCTTTTTTCCCGTGCCAAGCACATTTCCTTGGCTCTGTCCCTGCAATCCGCAGCGTCCCGCTCGCACTCATCGCCCGCCCCTGCCCGGGATCCACCGCAGCAGCGACTCCCGCCCCGGGCGGGCAAAGCCCTTCGCAAACATTCATTATCCATCCTGGGGAAAGCTCTCCTGCCTTGCCACACCCTTGTCACCGCCAGCCACTGCCAGGGAGGGGCTCAGCCGCCTCTGAGACCAGCGCCCCTCTTCGCAAATGGGACAATGCGGGACCCCCATTGCCCGCGATGGCCGCCCGTCCCCTTCCCACCCTCTGGGCATGGAAATGCCGAGAACCAGCGGCTCCTGGAGCCGCTCCTGGTCCGGCCAGGGCTCCGCAGAGCGCAGCCAAAGCCCTGACCCAGATTCGCTCCCTGTTATTGTCTGCCGGGCCGGTGGCACCGTGCCGGGCATTCCGCAGCGCTGAGTGCGGCTCCGCGGGCACCCCCGGGGCCAACGGGGCTGTGCTGCCCTCTGTCACTGCCCTCTGCCCCCTGCCACTGTCCCCTGTCCTCTGTCACCGCCCGTGACCGCGACCCGGCCCCACCGAGCGCCCCGTCCGCATTTCCAGCGCTTTCATCCATAAAATAATCCAGGGTTTTGTGTTCCTTGCATAAGCCGGGCTGATGGAGGCGCTCTGCAGGCTCGACCGGCCCCGCGGGTCTCCCAAAGGCCCGGTCAGTGCCGCCTGCCCATGGGGAGCAGCTCCTGCAGGTGCCCGTGGAGGAGAGGAGGATGCTGATGATGATGCTGGTGAAGGGGGAGGTCAGGGAGCGCTGCCTTCATCACCGCCATCATCAGAGCCCGCAGCCCTGCGGGACAGAGGGAGAGGCTGAACGGGAGGGATGGGACGGGATAACCCGGGATGGTGCCCACCCCTCTGCAGCCACACGCTGGGATCGCCCCCGGGGTGAGGATGGAGTTTGGGAACATTCAGCTGCACCTCGGGGGCTCACATCGCCTGACCTCACTGCTGAGCGACCCTCGGAGGGGCTGCACCGGCTGTGCCATGTACAGACCCAGGTCCCCCCAAACACAGACCCTCCCACACCATCTGTGGGGTTCCATGAACACAGACCCTCCCACACCATCCGTGGGGTTCCATGAACACAGACCCTCCCACACCATCCCTGGGGTTCCATGAACACAGACCCTCCCACACCATCCCTGGGGTTCCATGAACACAGACCCTCCCACACCATCCCTGGGGTTTCCCAAACATCCAAACCCTGGCAGCAGCCCCGGGGTGCAGCAATCCCGGTGGGAACGGGGTCACCCCCTGGCACCCACCTACCCCTGGGCATCAGCTCCACCACCAGCCTGGGGTTGGTGATGCTGGAGTAGCCCCACACTCACAAGTGCACTCCTCGGGGTCCACACAGGGCACAGAGTCTGGGGACAGAGCAAAGTGACATGTTGAGACCCCTACAGGGTGAGGACCAGCCCTGCACCCCTTCACTCCCTCGTGCCCCCTTTCCCTTTGCCATGGCACCGTGTCCAGACCTTGACAGGACACTGGGTGGAGGAGCAAGGAGCATCTCCCACCTCAGAGATAAAAATCCACCTCTGCCTCTCCCCACTCCCACCCTCAGCTCCAGCACTGCAGCACCCATCCCACCCCTCACCCTCTGCTGCCCATCCCCGTTGCAGGCTGGATCCATTCCCAGTTAAACCCAGTTAAACCCAGTGACAGCTGCCCCGGGGGGATCCCCTGAGCTCCACCAGGACCCGGGGCTGTGGCCAGAGGCAGCAGAGCCCCGGGGCAGGCACTGCCCATCCCCACCCACGGGGCTCCTGCACCGTTGTGCCAATTTCCTGGGCATGGGCAGCACCAGCAGCTCCTGGGATTTGCGTGGCAGAGCTCCAGGACCATCAACACCCAATTATTTCTATGTCTCAACGAGCGCTGAACCCTTTTCTTTTTTTTTTTTTCTTCTTTTTAATTGTTACGCTCATAAAATATTGAAATGAATGGAAATTAATGTCAGGCATAAATATGGATGGGCTGGCTGGCTGCACCCGCCCAGGCAGGAGCACGGGGACCAGCACGGGTGATCCTGCACAGGGCTGGCAGCTCTGGCCTGCTCCTCCTGCCTGGTGACCTGCACAGCCCAGAGCCTCCCAGCTTGTCCCCAACACCACTGCTGACACCTTGGGACTGTCCACAAAGCAGCGTGGGGCATGCTGGCAGCACGACTCGGTTGTGGGCAGACCACGGGCCGTGCTCAGCACATCCCAAGGATGCCAAAAAGCCCAGGCTGGACTCAGCCCTGAGGCTCCAGTGACTCCTTCCTGCAGCAGCCCTGAGCAAAGCTGCCCTCAGCGCTCCGTGCCTCGGTTTCCCCTCTCTAAAACACCACCTTGTGCACGGCTCCATGCAAATCCTTGGTGGCTGCAGGGTAGAAAACGTTCCAAAGGGCAAGGCAGTGTCTGGATGCTGTATTCCAGCTGAAATGCCTGCCCCAGGCCTCAGCTCTACCAGGGAACACTTGGTGGAGAGTGGGAAGCAGAGGCCCCCGAGCTAGGAGCACAGCTCAGTGTCAAACCCCTCTGCCTCACTTTTGGGCTCTCTGCTAAAAATGGGAGATGAGTTAGGACCCTGTAATTAATGTTCCATCTGCAGGAAGGGGCCTGTCTGCAGCGGGCGCTGCCTGTCCAGCTGGATCCACCTGACAACACTCAGAATGATGAGGACCAACCTGCTCAGCCACAGCAGCCCAAGCCTGCAAACAGGGGCTGCACCCAATTCAGGCCTAAATTCACCATGTGGGATGAGGAAACCCTCAGGATGGGGAGATGGGGGAGCCAGGTGAGGATCAGGTGGCGATGCTGCAGGTGTGGGGCTCTGCCACCCCAATCCGCCCCCAGCAGCAGAGCCAGCACACAGCACAGCACGGCTGGGATGCAGCATTTACCCCACATGCAATAAATCATTAATGCACACACCCCATGAAGGAGTCTATAAATCTCCTGGCACAATAAAAACACCCGGAGCGAGCGGCTGAGGCGGCCAAAACCACAGCACGCTCCTGCCACGCCACACACCCACAGCCCAGCACCATCTGGGCCATCTCCCATCACACCCTGAGAGCTCCTGGCTGCTGCCTCCGTGCTCACCTCCGTCCCATTTGCTGTCCCCATCACAGCCAGCAGCGCTGGGGTTTCTCCTGAAACACCCAGGTTTGGTTCCAGCCTCTGCTGCAGCAGTCGCTGGTCAGGGCACGGCCTGGGGGTGCCATCCCACCCCTGAGAAATCCCTGCAGGGTCAGCCACGAAGCCACCAGCTTCGGAACACCTCCTGAGCTGGCATTCTTTGGGAGCTGGAC